AGTTTATCAAATCCACGTTTCTTCTGTAAGACTAACCACAGTAAATCTTTAGATTTTCCCAAACAGAAAAACTGTGATACACAAAGGCTTTCTAGTAAAAAGGCAATTTTTTCTCTTTAAGAAACTAAAAGTCAATGGCATGTGGTAGTACAACAGCAGGCAAAATAATACTTTACCAAACTCAGATCCAAAATACATTTTAACAAGTGATGAAACATTTTAATTTAAAAAAGACATTCTTTTCTGAAGCAGCTATTTAAAAACAAAGTCAAATAACCCGAATAGTCCTTTTGAAACTGATTATCTAACTTAAAAAATGTAATGTGTTTCATAATAGAGTTAAAATTCCTTTTATTATTAGATGGCCGCATATATATTTTTTGAATGTTGCACTGAAAACTAAGACTTGTTTTGTTTTGTATGTGTTTTTTAAAAGAGACAGTAGCTAGTTCTTTCTTTTACGTAGGAGATAACCCCCTCTCAAAAGAAGAGTGTTTATCTTCTTCTGAAAAGTAACATTTTTTAGTTCATTATCATGTAGAAATCTGGCGCCACACTTTCCTGAGCCACCCCATCACCCTCAAATTCAAGGATAAAATTTCTTCCTTGTATTATATACCAAATATATAATACTGGCAGTTTAAATCTCCAGCCGCTTGTACTAAATGAATGACTCCCCTCTGGTCAAGCTGATAGACTACCATGGAGGTCATAACAGAATGGAGGTCCTGGTTTTAAGTTTTTATCATTCTCTCAACCTATCAACCTTAATAATGTCCTGAATATCAAGCCTTCCACTTGTCTCTCCCAATCTCTTTTGCCAACTTATGGACTGTCTTTATCAAGAAATGAACTTATGTTCAAATCTCTAAAAGCTTTTATATGAACTAACTGCCAATATATTAGAGCTGTTCAAATTAAGTATTTAAAAACAGACCTCATAATAATGAGAGGCCTGCTACAGAAGGAAGTTTTGCTCTAGTAAGAGTCTGATAAAAACTAAAATAGGCCATTTCAAGGGTGTACTAAGAGCCATTAGAGAGCAACTATTTATCAGGTTAGAGTCATATGTAGTAGGTTTGTTACCAAAAATGCAAAAACTGATATAAGGCATAATCTAAGTCAAAAGGGAAAGAAATTTCAATAGACATTTTATACAGTTACTCAGTTTAAAGTGGATCAACTTAAGTAGGATTTAGCAGGCTATATTTTCCTACCACATAATAGACCATTATGCCATGTAATAGCAACAATATAACTGTCATCACCAGAGATTTTGTAGGTTAAGCACATAGATTTCTTCCCCCTCTCTCTCTCATTGTATGGTTCTGTTCCAGGTTGTAAGCACTGAGGTGGTGTTATATCAAGAATAAAGACACATACTACTTGTTCTTTCCTATCATATTCTTTATATATTTTCTGTGTTTCTCTATACTAGACTATAAGCTCTTTGTGGNTACTTGTTGCTAAATTCCCAGGCCTTGCTACAGTGCTTAGCATATGACAGCTATGACATCTATACCTGTGCTGAATTGTCCCTGAAGATGTCACAAAGCAAATGACCTGTTTGCTTTATATCCATAGTCACTACTTTTGAAACCTTATCTGGTTATAATATACATGCTACTAGTGTTTTTATGCTGGAATAAGCCTGTTAAATATCTGGAACCGACTCTAGACCCTGAGTCATCTTTCTTCCATGGAGGTCTAGGGGGATAAAGTTTATTATGATATCTCAGTATGAAAATGAGAAAGTAGGTTCAGGAGTCTTAAATTTAAATAAATTAGCAAGTCCTTACAACAATGGATCCAAATCAATGGTTTCATCCTGGAAATTTTTTTCCTTTGTTCTTGAAACATATCCCAGGTACACACTGATTTAGATCCTTACCTCACACTCATCCTAAGGCCAGCATGGAAATGTCTGAGAAGTCAGTGAAGGTACAGAGTAGTCACACTGTTACTCTAATGGGTTTACATATCTTGTTTTGAATTCATTTACATACTCAGTTACTTTTGTTTAGCAGTTAATATACTTCTATTAACAACTAGTTACATTTGATTATACTTTTTTTCTTGGTACACTGTTCATTATTAAGAATTCAGATGAGTACTTTTTACCTTTCTATGGTTCTTATTGTCTGTTAGTAAAGAAAAAAAAATTAAAAATACAGTTCAATATTTACTTGTTTACAGACCATAGCACTTAAATTCTAACACAAGAAGTTTTCTTTTCTTTCTTTCTTTCTTTTTTTTTTGGCATTTTGGTGCCTTGTAAGTTGCTGCAGAGCAGCTTCTAACTGGGGTCCATATCTGGAACAACATTGTGGGGAGAGATATAAAGGCATGACAAATCCCCAAAAAGAGTCTGACAATGAAATACCTACTGTTAGTGGCAGCAGAAAACCAGAATGAGATCTCATTGAAAAAAAAAATGTGATATTTTTAAGAATGGGGGAAACTTTTTTATTTGTATGTTAACTGAGTAGGGAAATGTACATACTATATCCATGATAGTATGATTCTTTTCATATTTAATCAGGAATGCAATATAAAAATGTGAATTTCATAGTGCTCAGTCATGTGCTTAGTATATTTATTTTTGGGTTATCTATCTGTAAAACAGACACAGATAACAGTCTCTATATCATAATTATATTTTTATAAATATTATCATGTCTAATACATTTAAGGCTTTTTTGAGCTAATTACTTAGAAAAGTTACTTTTTCCATTACACAAGTTTTCAAAATATTATTTACTTGTATTTTCTTAATCTACAAT